TGATGAATTTGCTAAATTGAATTTAAGTAATGATAGCCTATTAAATTATGAAATATAATTTAATAGGGCAAATTAAATAGTTGATTAATGATTATTTATTAATTTAAAAATGATTATTTAATTATAATGATAATAGTAATAATAATAATAAGTAGTTAGTTGATAAGGTTTAGTATTTTTAACTCATATTATCTTAAGACCTATCACCATTAATTAGATATCTTTGGATCCAATAACCTTTAAATAAAAATAAATTAGTTGTATATAATATGTTAAAGGAATACAAGTCCAAAACCATAAAACCAAAAAATTAGAAGATTGTTATATTTTATACATGTGGTCATTTATTTAGAAAATTCTCTGATTTAATACCATCTAAATGTAAGAATGAAAGTGGGACAATTCTGCATTACAAAGGAAAGCATTTGGAAGGAAAGATGTTTTGGTTAAAATTAATAAGATATCTCGTGGCTAACATGGATTAATTAATCTATTTCATACATGTTGGCAAGTATTTATTTCAATTACCTATAATCTTTGCAAATTTTGTAGCAACAATGTCAACAATATTATTATTTGTTGTTAAGAATGTGTGATCATAACTTGTTATTTTTTGGATGATTTGCAAAAATATCACAAAAAAAGAAATGTTGTGTTAAAATGTTAAAACGTTAATTACTTAAATTTTTTTATATTTAAAAAATTAAAATGTCCTTCAATAATTTATATAAGTTAATAACACGAGACAGAAGTGAATTAGTGCTTAAAATTGATAATGAAATGAATGATATTGCTCATTCTGCTTTTCCAAATACTTCTAATTCTGGCAATGAAAATAGAAAAAGCTATTATTTACAATTAGTCAAAGAAAACAAAGAACTATTGGAAAATGAAAAGGAATTTTGTAGAGAAAGGTTTATTTATAATTTCGAATTAAAAAAAGCAATTTATAAAGTGGGTAAATCAAGAGAATGCAATAATTGTAAAACAACAAGATACTCTGACAAATATTGTGAAAAGTGTATTAGTCTAC